CTTGTTGGAGGAATATGTTTTTGATAAACAATATTTTGGAAATGAGCAAGAAATACAACAAATTTATGTCTGGCCCTTTGGTTTTACGACGGTGTTTCAGCCAAGCTAATCGTGCCCAGATTTGCATACGTACAGGTCTGGATTTGTTTTTAATTGGGCCGGTTTCGCTTAATGAATTTAAGAAACGAAAGCTATCTAAATCTAGAGCTATGTATTATTCAAATTCAACTGCGACAAGAAGATTGTTATTACTATCTGGTTATGTCTAACAAAACCCAGGATGGGAAAGTTTTCAACCTAAAACTCAACAATCAGTAATAGAACAGAAGAGAAGTTCTGCCACTAATTTAAGTATTCCCATGCGTATTACTGAAAGAATGAATTTATATCGGCATTGGAATGTATTTCGGAGCCCAATCAACTGTATCAGCGTCAATATTAATAATAGTTTGCTTTTACCTAACAACTTCAAAAACCTTAGCTTTTGTCTTATGAATACTCGATCACTTAACAATAAAGCCACTGAGTTTACCGATTTCATATGTGATCATCAACCTGATATTGTTGCTTTAACTGAAACCTGGTTTCATGAACATGAAACTGCTGCTAGGTCCCTCTGTACGCCCATAGGCTATGAACTCTTGGACCACCCACGATCCGGCCAGCATAGTGGTGGCACTGGAGTGCTGTTCAGGGATAATTTGACTGTTAACAGAGAATCCGCTGCAGAACTCCGATCTTTTCAATACTCTATTTTCAGATCATATGCCCGTTCATTGTAACCTTCTAGTTAACAAGCCTCATCACGATCTCTGCAAGAGCATGCTTTCTATGGAGCTCAATGATCTTGTTGACTGCTATAACCATACATTGCCATCATAATTGGATCGACATGCACCTGTGAATCACAAAACAGTTGTAAAAAGACCGACCGTTCCTTGGTTTAATGAGGAAGTCAAGTTAGTGAAAAGAGCACGAAGACGAGCTGAAAGGAAATGGAGATGGACTAAACTGTATGGTGACCTCCTTGTTTATAAATCAAAGAAAAATCAAGCCACTTTTGTAATGAAACGTGCATGTAATGAGTACTACACCACCTTCATACAAGAGAATAGCAGCGATCATCGTAAACTGTTCAAGTCTGCCAAATTTCTTTTTAATCAAGAAACTGATTTGCATTTTCCAGAATGCAGCGATAATACAGTCCTTGCGAATGATATAGGTGACTTCTTCGCCAACAAAACCGAGTGCATTAGACAAGAACTTGACAGTGCAGCCACCTATCACAACCCTACAAGTGAACCACAGATCATGCCTAATGTTCAACTGGACTCGTTCAAGACATTAACTGAGGATGATGTTAACCAGATTATCTCAAACTCAAGCAAAAAATCATGCTCTTTGGACCCCATGCCCACTCATCTTGTGGTCCACTGCCTGGATGTACTTCTGCCAGTAATTACAAGAATGATAAACTTGTCCCTGCAATCCGGATGTTTCCCTGAGAACTGGAAGCTGGCTAAAGTCCACCCAGGCTTAAAGAAGTCAAAAGCTGAGGTTATATATATTTAATAATCTTCATCCCATCAGCAACCTTTCATTTGTTTCCAAACTCACGGAACGAGCTGTCTTTAATCAAACCCATGACCACCTTACTGTTCACAAACTTTACCCTAAAGCTCAATGTTCCTACCGCCAATATCATAGTACTGAAACTGCTCTTCTACGTGTGAAAAATGACATCTTGATGAACATGAATAAACAACATGCAACTCTTTTGGTACTGCTTGATTTGAGTGCAGCATTCGATACTGTTGACCATACGATCCTGCTGAATCGACTATGCTCTAGCTTTGGTATCACAGGTTGTGTACTAACTGAGTTTAAATCATACCTCGAGAACAGATCTCAATGTATTTCTATCAACGGTGGTGAATCCAGATAATTTGAAATGAAGTATGGTGTTCCGCAAGGCTCTTGTCTTGTTTGTCATCTATGCAAGCAAACTGTTTACTATTCTTGAAAGGCCACCTAGCAGATGTTCATGCATTTGCAGATGACTCGCAATTATACATTTCACTCAAACCTGCCTCTATGATCGAGCAATCCACTGCCATTAAGGCAATGCAAGATTGCATCACAGACATCAAGAAATTTATGTCAGCAGACAAACTGAAGTTAAATGATGATAAAACGGAGTTCATCATCATCATCAGAACAAGGCAACAGTTGGCAAAAGTAAGTGTTGGTTCACTGTGCATCGAAGACGAAATTATCAAACCATCTAGCGTAGTAAGGAATCTCGGCTCCTGGTTCGATTCGCAACTGAAAATGGACTTACACATTAATAAATGCTGTAAAGCAGCATTTTTCCATCTATTTAATATCAGACGTATCAGAAAATTTCTCAGCTTTGATACTACACAAATTCTTATTAACACTTTTGTTACGAGTCGACTCGACCACTGTAACAGTCTCTTGTATGGTCTGCCCACCAATCAGATATACAAACTACAACGAGTACAGAACTCCGCAGCAAAACTGATTTGTAATGTTAATCGATTTGATTACATCGCCTCTGCGCTGTATAAACTACACTGGTTACCTGTTAGATACAGAATTAACTTTAAAATATTACTTATCACTTATAAGGCAATTAATGGTCTCACTCCTGAATATATTTCTGAACTCATCAAATTCAAGGTTGCATCCAGATACAATCTACGATCATCTACTGAACTGTTGCTTGAGAAACCGGGAACAAAAACATCAACCACTTTGGGTGACCGATCATTCCAAGTGGCTGCACCTACACTGTGGAACAGCCTCCCAGCAGAAATTCGTAACACCTGCAATGTTGCATCATTTAAGAAAATGCTTAAAACCCATTTTTTATGAAGACATTTTCCTCCTGCTGTCATAATTAGGACAAGTAATATATAGCAGCCCTGTAGGTTCTTAGATTTATTGTAGGATGGTTTTTAAATTAGTGTAATATTCCAATTTTCTATTTTGATGTAATGCGCGAGTGAGCATCTCCCTATGTAACACACGCAATATAAATTTTTAAATTAAATTAAATTAAATGAAATGGGCGAGCATTGAAAAGCTGTAACCAAGCTACTAATAGACTTGATTAGCATATAATCCAATTTCCTCCCTTTTGCTGGCCACACTCGTATTGCTGGGCTGGGTTATCACCATAGAAAAATCTCATCACATCTACAATTCCAACTCCTTTTTCACTTGTTAGTGGCAAACTGATTTCGTCTAAGCATTCCAACCTGGATTCTACATATGACAATTGCCCAACATCTGAAATGCTGGATATAGCAACAATGTACACTTTGGGAGATTCAACATTGGTTTGAATGTCAACTTTTCATTGCGATATTAATTCATGTTCCTCATTAGTATAAAATCCAGCTGAGTTCTACAAACATGCAACCATGGATCCATATTAAATGACTGTGGTTTGCAACTGCAGAGAGATCATGCTATATTTTAAGTGCATGAAATTTCCTTCAGCTTTGCTTGCAAGACTTCTGCATCATCCAACTCGCAGAAAACAGCATCTACCAGAGATAACCTTTTCGTCATTTCTTCCCTTGACATATTGGAGAATTCTTCATCAGAAACGTTTCATATAGCATGCATTGGACTCAGAAAATGTTCCCTTATTGCTGCTAGGGGTTGCTCACGACCTACGACAAATTCAATTCACACAGACCAAGTGCCAAATATAGGTTTTGAACACAAACCCTCTGATTGGCTATGAAAACACATTACATGCAATCACATGGTGCAATCCACCATCCAAACAAATGGTTTGTTTAGAAAATGTGTATATCTGAATTTAAAATTTAAAACCCATTACATGCATTGGCAACACTTTGGAATGCCAGTATATTTTTGGCCAAAATGTTGTACAATCCGCTTGAAATTATGTTATTGATTACCACTCATAAAGATTATTTTTAAATTACCACCATTATATGTAATTATAATCTTTTTATGTATTTGAAGCTGATGGTTTTAATTAACTGTTTATATGTCAATATAGAGGGGAAAAGACATGATGCAGGCATGTTAAGAATCTCAGGTTTACTGGAGTCATTGGAAACCCATTGCAATACAGAAGCTGGTGAACCTCTTTGCATTTATGGTGATCCTGCATATCCCCTTTGAAGAAACTCCAGTCACCATACGGACAGGGGAATCTTACCAACATTGAAAAAGCATTCAACTCCTCAATGAGCTCAGTTAGAGTTGCAGTTGAGTGGGTTTTTGGTGACATAACCTTGTACTTTGCTTTCCTAAGTCCTGTTGGCAAAATCTATTCTGTGTGCGCACTTTTCAGAAATGCTCTTACCTGCCTTCATGGTTCAATGAACATTCGTTTTTTGGACTTACTCTGCCTACTATTCAAAAATATTTTAATGCAAGTAATGTGTGGAGTTAAAAGTGTTCAGGCATACACCTTTTCATCAATGGTGTTGCTAGAGGGTGGTGGAAAACTCCCTGATTTGATTTGTCACTCTCAGTTGGCAAAATATTTGGGAAAATATTTTGGCGGTGTGGGCAAATCAGTCAGGAAAATATAGGTACAACCCAGCCACTAAAACAGGGCTAGCAATGCCCCTGCTTTTCATGATTTTGCATGTCATTGAGCTTAGGGCACACACACACACACACACACACACACACACACACATATTCTGACTGTTGCATTCAGTGCCACATTAGACAGTCTAAAATAACAAAGCAAATTGCATTGGGTTGGTTTCACTAACCATTATCTGCAGCAAATGGTGATCAACTTGCAGTTAGCAAAATTAGAAAATAATGATAGTTATTTTTATTATGCACACAAGTCTTGTATTAAAAGTAAAATAAAAAGAATTGAGATGAAGAAGATACAGAACAGAAAAAATCAAGAAGTGTTAATGAAAAATCGCATGCATGTTTGGCGAAATATTTATATTACCTGAAAAATTCAAGTACCTGAAAAATACAAGTAAAACTTCAACGTTTTGAGTGAAAGTCCTTCATCGGAAAGTTAGTAGCATGAAGTTATTGGCATTACACTAACTTCCTGATGAAGGTCCTGTTGCTCAAACCGTCCAAATCGAATCAATATCCATCTGCATTTAGATCAGAGCACATTTAATTTTTTCATATTTTTTACGATTGAATTGTGGAGAAAATTCAAAATGAGTGAATTATGTCTAACCATACATAATAAGTCCATTTATAAGTAATAATAGGAAGCAATATGATCATATTAATTATTAAATAAGTGAAAACCTTGATTAGAAACATATGAAAACTACCAAAAATCTATGATCGAAATTTTTAAAAAAGGAAAGTACTTGTAATAAACAAATGACACACAAGTCATTGCACTTGCATAAGACATTGTATGTTGTTTTATCAGATTTATGATTGAATTGTGCAGAAAATTCAAAATGACTATGGTAAAATACTTTGCCAAACTATCTTAGCTTCTTTCTTGAGATATTTAAGAATGTTCATTGCAAAATTTAAATTATAAATCTTATATGGACAACTGATTCGAATCTGTCAACATATAGTATATATTTGTAGCATGTTGACCGAACACATATGCACAGTTTTATGATGTTGATGCACAATATCCCAAGATCTTGCAGGGTTTTTTTCAGAAAGTTGTTATGCAATGCGATGTCATCGTGAGGATAATTATTTGCATATCACAATTGTTATTGAGAACAATTAAGCAAGAACGAATAAGCAAGAACAATTAAGCAAGCTTAAGCTGGTTTTACACTGTTAGCTTTAGCTTTTCTAATTTATTTAATTCCACCTGAAAAATCACAAGACAAAGAAAAATTTTGCCTAGTTGAAAACCGGCTTAAAATAGTTTGGGAAAGTGACTTATTCGGTCAATTTGAATTTTTTTTTACAACACAATCATAAAAAGTGGTTTGAAAAATCATAAAATTTAGTTTGAGAAATAAGAATATTTAGTGCACAAATATATATTGAGATGAGTTCTAGACAATATGGAAACTTCGACTTCTGATGGTTGAAATTTGTAGGTTCCTGTCAGGATGGTGTTGTACTAAACTCTTGGATACTTTATTTACTTAAAACAACCCGTTTACAAACTATATTTTACTCTATATCGAGTCCGTATTCAAAACAACTGTTGTTGTCTTTTTATCTTAAATCCCATACACCGAAAGGTGATTTGTCCCGATAACAGTCCGATCGTAATATAAACAAATGTAACACAACATATAACATCTCTCCCCAACTACAATAATAGTCCAACCCCCCTTAAGTTTCGTAGTCTTCTAAATAACTTGGCCTCCGTGTTGTCCGTCGTGGTCTTTGCCCTTTCTCAGTGCTTTCATCCGGCGTCTCCTGTTGGTTCCCCCTGTTTTCGTTCTCCGTCTCTCTCGTCTGATGCGTCCTGGTCATCTTCGTTTTCTGCCCGCGTATCGGATGCAATCTTCCGGAAGTACGACGCGTCCCTCGTGATGGTCCACGTGCCGTTTATCTCCCGTGCAGTTATTCTCGAGCCTTGAACCTCGGTGATTCTCAGAGGTGTAGGGTTGAATGTCGGCGTCAGCTTGTTGACTTTCGTCTGCTTCACAATAACACTGTCACCTACCCGAAGTTTATGTGGCCGCAGTCCGTTTCTCATCTTGGCTTTGTATCGTTGGTCTCGTATACGGTCTATGACATGGTCGGTTGGTGTCATAAGTGGAAGTACTGTTCTCATTTCTCTTCCGCCATGCAATGCAGCATGCGGGCTGGCCCCAGTCGCGCTGTGTGGGGTAGATCGGTACATCTGCAGGAATCTTTGTGATGCGTCTCTCAGGGGTTTCCCTTCCAGGGTTGCCGCCTGCAGGGCTTCTTTCATACTCCGATTAAATCGCTCAACTGTTCCGTTTGCTCTGGGCCATTCCGGAGTAATGTGGTGATGGCGGTATCCACTGCTTTGGGCAAACTGTTCCATCTCTTTTGATTGGAAAGGCGAGCCATTGTCCGACTGGCATACCGCTGGAACACCTTTGTTGGTGAATATATTCTCCATGGCTGCGATCGTGATGTTCGCATTAGGTGCGTTTTGGAACCAGGCCATCTCCGGCCATCGACTGTAACGATCAATCATTATGAATATATTTTCGCCGTTGGGGTAAGGGCCTTGGAAGTCCATTTCCACATACTGCCATGGGCCAATTGATAGCTCCGACGGTTTGATTGGCTGGTCGTTATTTGGTGGTTGGACGGCTTGGCACGGTAAGCATCCTAATACCTGGTTTTCGACGGCCTTGTCCATCCCAGGGAACCAGCAGAATGTCCGTAGAAAATGCTTTGCCTTGCTAATTCCTTGATGTGCGCGGTGGCTCAATTCAACAACACGTTTTTGTAGAGCGATAGGGACGACAATACGTGATCCCCGACAAACCACACCGTTGACCACACTCAAGTCGTGTTTGATTTCCGGGACCATGTAAGGTTTTAGGTCCTCGTCATTGTCGCTAATTCCCGACTTGATTGCTTTAACAAGTCTCTGGTAGACTTCGCATCTTTCTCCTTCAGCCCTAATGTCCTCCACCGTCACTGTTCCTTGTTCATTAAGGGCGTGGCAGCACCCGCTCTCAACAACTTCGATCTCAAATACTCGACTTGATCCTGCTCGATCAACATGATGTCGTGACATGTAATCGGCGATGCATGCCTTTCCTGGACGGTAGACGATCTCGTACTCAAACTCTTGCACGTCCATAACAAAGTTCTCGACTCTTGGGGGTAGCTCCCCGCATAACTTGTGGAACATATAGGTTAGTGGACGGTGGTCGGTAACGATGCGGAATTTTGGAGCACCGAGCAAATACTTTCGTAGCTTCCTGCATGCCCAGCGCACGGCTAGTGCCTCTCGCTCTGTCGCGGAGTATCTGGTTTCAACCTCTTTCAGTGAGCGCGACTTGTACATAACCGGGTGGAAGGCCTCAGTCTTCGATGCTCGCTGGACAAGAACTGCCCCCCAGACCCGTGATACTGGCGTCTACAACTAGTTCGGTGTCATGTCCGATTACATAATGGTGTAGTAGTGAAAATTCGCTTAACGAGGCTTGCAACTTGGTGAATGCTTCTTGGCACTTTTCGTCCCACGCCCAGATGTTCTCCTTAAGCTGTTGCCGCAGAGGGTGGACAATACTCGCGAAGTTCGGAATGAAACGTTCACTAAACCCTGCCATCCCGAGGAAGGAGCGCAGCTCCACTTTACTTGTGGGTTGACTTGCATCTTGTAGATTCTTTACATTCTTTGGGTCGGGTTTTATGCCCTGCTTGTTGAACACCAGCCCGACGAATCGCACCTCCTCTACATCAAAGACACACTTATCAGGATTCACGGTGATACCATTACTCGTTAAGGCTGACAGGACTTTTTGCAGGGCTGCATCATGCTCTTCGACTGACCCGCCAATCAAGATATCATCCGCTATGTTCCCCTGGCTTGGGATACCGGACAGCATCTTGTGCATCTCTAACTGGAGGATATCCTGGGCAGATTTGGTTCCATAATTGAGCCTTTTGTAGCGGTAGAGGCCATCAGGGCCTTAGAAAGTGGTGATGTTACGCGACTGTTCGTCGAGGACAAACTGGTGGTATGCTTCTTTGAGATCCAGTTTAGTGAAGCGTTCTGCTTCTTGAAATTTGTTTACAATATCAGCCATTGTTGGTATCTGCGTATACGGGCGTTGTATGGCTTTGTTGGCCATGCGCATATCGATGCAAAAACGAATGTCGTTGGAATCTGGTTTGGGAGCAATCACCGGAGGGCTGACCCAACTGCGTGGCTGGTTATCTGGAACTCGTTCTATGATGTCTTGGTCCAGGAGGTCTTGGATCTTGCTTTCTACCCGTTCTGAGAGATTGACTGGTATCCGTCTCTGTTTCTGGACTACTGGTGTGACACTGTCATCGATCATCACGGACACCTCATTCGTTTTGGCTTTGCCGATCTTACCCGTGAACACCTCGGGGTTATCCATAATCATGTCAGCTATCTTTTGGCGCCTAGTCATTGCCAAAACTTTCTTGCAGGGCTCAGACACTCGCTGTACTAGGAACTTCTCATTATACCGGATCAATTGGAGCTGTTTGGCTGACTGTTCGGAAAGTAGTGGATAGGCGGATGGTTCAGATGTCACATATATCTCAGTGTCGACTGTCCGATCCCCAGCTGTCAGCACTGCCTTGAATGAACCGATGACCGCCAGTGGTGTCTTGCCCCCATACGCAAATAGCTTGATGTTTGTCGGTGTCAACTTTACTTCCCCCCGAGTCTTTTCTTTAAAGCTGCGGAAGTGTGCTTTATCCCAGACGTCTTTTTGGGTCCCGGTATCCGGTTGCCACAGAACTTCTTGGTCGTTAGTGCGGACTCTCATCAGCGATGGCTTTTCCCTCATCCCAAGATTGTTAACTAATTCGATCTTGGCTGTGTCGTACTCATCAGTGTCGGAGTTGGTGTCGGTTCCGGTGTCAGTTTGGGGTTCTGCTTCGATGCGTTTGATTCCTGCTTCCTTTTGTTTCTTGAAGCACTTGCTGGCATAGTGTCCTTTCTTTTTACAGTAATTGCAGATTCTGGATATGGCTGGGCACTTCGAAGCAGGGAAATGGTTCTCGTGTCCACACCGATTGCACTGATCTGTGGTCCCCTTCTGTTGTAACAGTTGATTTCGTTTGGCACCCACCTTGTTGACTACCTGTCGCGAGTCCCTGTCTATTACTTTACTTCGGGCCACAGCATCTTCCTTCTTTCTAGAGATATCTAAGATTTGGTCCAGTGTTCTGTCCTTCTGTAAAAATTTTAGGCGAAGGGTGTCATCTTGCATATTGCTGATGATCAGGCTTTTGATCATTTTCTCCACCGACCAATTTGTAAAATCGCACTTGCTCGCTGCTTTACGTAGTCTCATCGCATAACTTGTAATACTTTCTGACGATTCGATTTTCATTCGGAGTAATTCAAAGATAGCAAAGTCGTTGCACTGTTTTGGTGAAAAATGTATTTTCAATTTGGTTTTAGATTGCTCATACGCGGTCCAGTTTTCTTCCTCTGTGCCTTCTGGTCTGCCTGGTTCTGGCAGAGTGTCGTGCAGGTCTTCCACCTCGGTGCCTGCGTATATTAACAGCGCCATTTTGGCTATTTCTGGTGTTTTACTAGGGTCACATCCGTTATACTTGAGGTCTCTCTCAAATCGTTCGAACCACTTTTCCCATCGTTTCCCCAGGTCTAACCGATCTCCGTGAGGATCGAAGGGTAAAACTTTTAGCTTGGGTCCTTTTGTAGCCGTAGCAGCTGTAGAACTCGTCGCCATTGTTGTACTGAACTCTTGGATACTTTATTTACTTAAAACAACCCGTTTACAAACTATCTTTTACTCTATATCGAGTCCGTATTCAAAACCACTGTTGTTTTCTTTTTACCTTAAATCCCATACACCAAAAGGTGATTTGTCCCGATAACAGTCCGATCGTAATATAAACAAATGTAACAAAACATATAACAGTATGTGTATTGATTAACTCGTAATGTATTATCTGGAGCCTATATATTTAATATATTGTGCGGCTTGCTATAAATGCTTCGTATTATTGTTATATACATTTCTTTTTCCTGATGATGACTGAAATGTCTGAAATATAGTCGAAACGTTGATAAACTTATAAAAATGTTATCGATCTTTGGAGTTACACTTGTTTTATACATTTCTTCGTTCTACATTTCACGCCCTGCGTCAATTTGACAGTTGACGTCTTGACGACAGTCTTTGTTTATTATTTCCGTACAGGCTCACCTAAGTCACCTTTCTCCCGGTTAACCTGCTCCCAGGCTAAATTTTAGGCAATTTTATGCGGGAAATTAGGCGGGAATTTCCGGTTTCGGTCGTTTCCGGATTCGGTCGTTTCGGTTTCCGTTCTTTACAGAGACCCATATTTGGGTGTCATTTTGTTAATTGCCTTAAATGTCATTGTTAACGGAGGGGTGTTAGAGGAATGCGCTTGTTGCGCTTGGAAAATTTCTGTTAAATATTTTGGGAGTCTCTGTAAAGAACGGAAACCGAAACGACCGAATCCGGAAACGACCGAAACCGGAAACGACCGAAACTGGAAATTCCCGCCTAATTTCCTGCATAAAATTACATAAAATTTAGCCTGCTAGCAGACTCACTGGTAGAAAGGTGAGCCTGCACTGAACCGTGCGTTTTATTCATTCATCCCTTACAATAAACAAAGACTGTCAACTATCAAATTGACGCAGGGCGTGAAATGTACAACGACGAAATGTATAAAACAAGTGTGTAAACTCCAAAGATCGATAACATTTTTATATTTATCAACGTTTCGACTATATTTCAATCATCATCACGATAAAGAAATGTATATAACAATAATACGAAGCATTAGCAAGCCGCACAATATATTAAATATAGGCGGCTGCAGATAATACATTACGAGTTAATCAATACACATACAAATTAAAAGTCGAATAAAATACTACCATTGAATGCAATAATACTTGTACTACTTGTGATTGAAAGAACAATGTTCTGAATATTTGAAGCTATTAAAATGCAGTCAGATAAATTGGGATTTGGTATACGTCTAAATGAGCATGTATTTAATTTTTTCAAAATCAAGAGCGTGCCATTTTAGTGGAAGTCGTATCGTATGTCAAATGAGAAAGTGAATGCAATATCGTTTTTATTAAATTAAACAAAACCGGCATGAACCGGCATTGTTCAGAAAGTTAATAATATGCAGTAAGATTATTAAATAATTGACAAAATTGTCAGCAGTTAAATAGTATACAACCTTACTTTCGGACGATATTTATCTAAATGTTATGCCAGCGATCGAGCATCAACAAATCAACAATATAATTATTCGTTATGCGGGAAATTTAGGCGGGAATTTCCGGTTTCGGTCGTTTCCGGTTTCGGTCGTTTCCGGATTCGGTCGTTTCGGTTTCCGTTCTTTACAGAGACCCATATTTGGGTGTCATTTTGTTAATTGCCTTAAATGTCATTGTTAACGGAGGGGTGTTAGAGGAATGCGCTTGTTGCGCTTCGAAAATTTATACAACTTGTGTATTATGGTTTCGGACGTTAAATTTAAAACGAAATCCTGAAAGACCAGTTTCATCCCAGAGCCGACGGCGCGAAGCGCCATGCGAGGGTACTAATTCCCCCCGGCTATTTACACCCGGGGAAACGAAAGCATTAGCGAAGTCTAAAGCTTTGTCTCTTTGTCTAAAGTTCATCAAATATCGCGGGCGTCGGTCACCAACGATGGTGAGTGGTTTAAATTGAAGACATATATTTGGGAAATCGTTTCATATACAACAAGCTTGAAGTAATTTTGTTTGAAGAAATGAGAAGAATTGATTTACTATGGGAAATCGTGAAATATACGGCAAGTTTCCTTTGAATATTTAATGTTTAAGAATTTTGTTGCTTTAACTTTTTGGCTAAAAACATGAACTGTTTTCCTTTTCAACGAAGCTCTAAGTTTCATAAATTACCGTTTAATTTGAGAAAAAATCTTCATGTAAAGGAGAACAAATTGATTTGAAGACTGAACTGAAATTACCTAACAATTTGTTTTATTTGTAACTTATTATGTTTTATTATTAGTTTTAATAGATAAACATTCACAAATTGAAAATTAGAAGATGATGGCGCCATAAATAACGTATGATTTATATGAATAACGATCATTTAACCTACAGAATACGTATTATCCAATCCTTGGATCAAATATTTTCTGTATCTGAAGTAAGTAAGGTTCGTTGACCGGTCTATTTTATAAAACGCTTGATCTACTCGCAGTGAACACTGAACGTCATGTACTCATGTTGTGTGATAAAAATTAAAAACTGACATGCTTCTAAAATTGTAATTATGACAATGTTTACGTATGTTTATGTAGGTTCATCAAGTAACGATATAAAACTGAGAGTTTAACAATTAATACTTGGTCTCTGTAGGATTACTAGGTTTAATACTACGACTCACTACTAAGGGATATATCATTATATGTCGCTTTGAATTCTTTGTTCTCACTGCTGGTAGATTTGTGTGAAGAAGGGGACTGAAGGGGTGGTAAGCATATCATCTAAAATAGCTTATTTAATTAACTTGTGTTTAGTGCTTACTGCCGTCATAGGACACGTTGATATTTTGTATACACAGGCACC